GCTTCGCCTCGGCGGACGCGGAGCCGCGGGTTTTGGCGTTTGGGGGGGAGGGGGGGGAGGGGGCGGAGGGGAACTGGGCGAGGGGTGTCTCTGGGTGCGCTTATATAGAAGTTTCGGGGGCCGGGGGGAAGGAGGAGGGTTCCGCCCGCTCGGTCCGGCCGCCGGGTCTGGGTCTGGGTCTGGGTCTGGCTCCGGTCGCTCGGACCGGGTCGGGTCGCGTCGCGCGCCGAGCCTGGGCGGGGGAGGGACGTCAGTGTGTGGGCTTTGCGGTGCCGCGTGGGAGCCACTGGGACTGCCTCGCTTTCTTCTGACTTGATGCACGCGGGCCATGCCCCTGCCTAACGGGACTCTTATCTAGCATGTGTCCTTTTTTCTCGAATGTTTTTTCTTCCTTTTTATCCTCTCTGTTTCTTTTTCTCGTTACTTTTTATCCGTCGGTTTCGTAGCGGACAGAGGAATCATGCGGCGGTGGATAACGAGGCCGGGCCTTTTGGGCCGGCCGGAAATTGGGCGGATGATAGCCAGTTGACATAAGATGATGAAACCCTCCACGAGTTGTCGCCACGTCTCGTCTCGTGAACATCCTGCTAGAGTTGTCCAGGCACTGTTGCTGTTGGTGTGGAGTTAGGCCAACTCCACCGCGCGATCCCAAACGGACGTCCGTTTTGTCCGGATTCTATCCATTTGGGTAGCGATTTGAGGTCGTGTCCAGGCGTGTCCTGAAATGCGGTGGCCGTGCGCTCACCGCGCGGACGCATCCTTTTGCCCTATTCTGTTCGTCAGGACCCAAAATGCCCAAATTTTCATCAAAACTAGTTTACAACCCAAATATTTGTATGGAAATTAAAATAGTTTTGCAACCCAATTAAAATTGTCTTTAATAAAATATTTTTACAACCAAATCGAAATTGTCTTGACTAAACATAAAATGGACCAATACATTTATTGGTTGCCAATGTGATCCACACGTGCTCAACCAAGTCATTTTGAAGATTCAAATGAGAGTGCCAATCACGCATCTCACGATGGAATTGAGCAAACTGTTCAAATATGGTCGGGTCTTGGTGCAGGGGCTCAATATTTTCACCTTGATAGTCAAATCCTTGGTCGAAGATACTCTCATCACGCTCGTCCTCGAAGATCATGTTGTGCATGATCACACAAGTAGTCATCACCTCCCAAAGCTTCCTTTCATCCCATGACAGTGCAGGGTTTCGAACGATACCCCACCGGGATTGAAGCACACCAAAAGCACGTTCCACATCCTTTCTAACACTCTCTTGCATTTGAGCAAATCTCTTTCTCTTCTCACCTTGGGGTTTCAAGATTATCTTCATAAAAGTTGACCACTGAGGATATATACCATCTGCTAGATAGTATCCCTTGTTGTAATGGTGGCCGTTGATCTCAAAGTTGACAGGTGGGGAGTGGCCTTCTGCAAGCCTCGCGAAGACTGGAGAACGCTGCAGCACGTTAATATCATTGTGAGAACCTGTCATGCCGAAGAAAGAATGTCATATCCAAAGATCCTGTGATGCCACCGCTTCTAATATGACAGTGCACGCCTTGACATGCCCTTTGTACTGGCCCTGCCAAGCAAATGGACAGTTCTTTCACTCCCAGTGCATACAATCTATGCTGCCAAGCATGCCTGGAAAGCCTCTAGCTGCGTTGGTCGCCAACAATCTCTCTGTATCAGCGGCAGTTGGCTGCCTCAAGTACTCTGGGCCAAACACCTCGATCACAGCCTGGCAAAACTTGTAGATTAACATCAGACATGTTGTCTCACTCATACGCACGTACTCATCCACCAGATCGCCTGGAATTCCATATGCAAGCATGCGGATGGCCGCGGTGCATTTCTGGTAAGAGGAGAATCCAAGCTTGCCAAGGGCATCCGTCTTGCACTCGAAGTATGGGTCATGAGCAACCACTCCCTCTCGGATACGATTGAACACATGTCTTGCCATTCAGAAACGGCGACGGAATTTATCCGGCTTGAAGAGCGGGGTGTTGGCAAAGTAATCGGCATAGAGCAGGGCGTGCCCTCTCTCCCTATTTGCGGTTCAGGTTGGGAGCACGGCCAGGGAGTGACCCCCTGTACCGAGGAAGCTGCCGTTGAATGTGGTCGTGAACGACCAGTGCAGCCACCACAATATCTTCATCATCCGACGACGAATCATCCGATGAACAAAGAAAGTGATGGAAGAAAAACTCGTCTCCACTGTCCATACCTTTGTGGGCAAAATGCCGAACACCTTGCGGGCGTGGTGGCGAAGATCACCTCGACGCGGCAGGGGTGGTTGCCGGCCGGCTACTGGCCGCTGTGGAGCTCTCGTCAGGAGCTGCCGAGGACGCCGTGCTACGTCGCCGGCGGTCATGTCCCCTCTGCGGCCGGCAAATACGTCGACGGCCAAACCTCCGATCGACGGCCAAAACTACGGCCACAGCACGGGCGTGGTGGCGGCCATGTCGAGTGGTTTGGTAGGGACGGCCGGAGGCTGCGCGGTGAGGAGGCGGCCGGAAAATAGCGGCGGCGCCGACGGCGGGGCGGGGCGAGAGAGAGAGGGTGGAAGCGTTTGGGAACGGAGGGACTGCTAGTGTCCTCGACAGGCGGGCCAGGAGGGACAAGGGCGTGCGTCCAAGCCGTCCGCGCGCGTCCGTTTCACCCCAAACCGAGCGCAAGTTTGGACCGGGGATGGGTCGAAAACGGATGGAATCTGGACATTTGTCCGTTTGAGGCCGTGCGCTGGGCTACGCTATTCGTCCATTTTATCCCAAACGGACGGGGGCGGATAGGATAGGGTCGCGCGGTGGAGTTGGCCTTACAGACTTACAGTGCTGCGCTGTTGATCTTCGCTACAGTCCAATACACTGCCAATCCCCAAAAAAGCAAAATACGGTGGCAGTCTAATATTGGTGTGACTGCTCGTACCGCGAGTCGAGGGCGAAACTGCACGGAAAGAGCCATGGGGCAACAACGATCACGTGAGCGGAGGGAGAGGTGGTCTACTCCAGGCTGGATCGCTTAGCTGGTCTGATCAGTGACGAAATTCTTTGGAGCCAAACAATCAGTTGTTTCATTTTTCTGCGTGTGACTCGTGACTGGACCCGGTGAGTGGCCAGTGATTGGCAATACTACCAAGTTTTATGAATAGCAGCCGTGCAGTTCGGAATGGCACCATCATGCGGCATGTCGTTGAATGCTCGGGCCCACCGTGCCAGTGATACAGCCACGCAGGCTCGTCATGGAGATGTGCGCGGAGCTCACAAGGTAGCAGGCATCGAATGCCAAGGACGCACGCGAATTCAGTTCAGTTTCTAGTTTCTACACGCCTTGGTGCTACACGGTACGAACTCGTCAGAACTGATCAACTGAGGGTAAATAGAGTAGATGAACTGCAAAAAAAACAGAGCAAGAGGGGGAATATGAGCACAAAAACCGAGGCTGGGGTTACAAGTTATGAGGAGAGGTGAAATTCCGAGTGTCAGAAAAATAATACATTAGTGAGACTGGCTAGAAAAGTACAAATTCTACACCCGAAAATAATAACATGATCAACCGTTTCATTTTTCTAGTCATGTTATTCTTGGGTGTATTGACCTGTTTTTGTTTTGGTGCAACCGTATTGAGCTGTTTTTGTTTTGCTGCAAACTAGTATGTCTAACGAGTAGGGTGTTTCGGTGCCCAGGCTTATCTGCATCCGGTTAGAAAAAAATTTGTAAAAAATTCAAAATAAATTCAAAAAAAATTGTGCGGTAGACAATTTGATGCGTGGGACCCGCTCCAAATGTTGAGTCATTTGGATATCTGAGCAGCTCTCAGCAAAAAAGACAAATCAAACCAAAACAATACATAAACAGTAAATTTTTACAGACCCTCAATTTGTGTTTTTTTGCTGAGATCTCCTCAGATGTCCAAATGATTTGAAAATCGGAGCGGATCTCACGCATCAAATTTTCTACCACACAAGAATTTTTGTAGTATTTGATTTGATTTTTTTCGTCAGTGCGGGTGTAGATGAGCTCGGGCGTAGAGATGGATTTTCGATGTCTAACCATATTTCCAAATGATTATAAATAATAACATGATTTTGGACTTCGTGTCACGACAACGTAAAGTGCGTGCATGATTGTTGCACTTTGAGATTGCCCATAAACATGTCGTAAATTCTCTATACAAAAAACATCGAACCTAATTTAGAATGATACTACTTACAATTGCCCAAGGGT